TTACGGCAGCTGTTGAAACCAGTTCACCTCAGTAGTGCGTTGCGAAAAAAACAATGGAAAAAAATATTGAACAAAGAGTTTGCATCAAATTTTGTTTTTCGAACGAAATTTCGTGTGCAGAATCGTTGCGAATGCTACAAAAGGCTTATGGGGAATCAGTTTTATCGAAAACTCAAGTTTATGAGTGGTACAAAGCCTTTCAGGACTGTCGTACGACCGTCGAAGACATGCCGCGTTCTGGACGACCTTCGACCTCTACCACCGACGAAAACATTGAAAAGGCAAAGGAAATCGTGTTCAAAAATCCTCATGTGAGTGTTAGAGAGATAGCACGAGAGCTAGGCATCGGTCGTGAGATGGCTCGTTTGATTTTGGTGGACAATTTGTGTATGCGACGTGTCAACGCCCGGCTTGTTCCGATTCACCTCAATTTGTTCAACATTATCAACGATTTTAAGGCCAAACATTCAATAAATACCATCGAACAGCCACCGTATTCACCTGATCTTGCACCGTGTGACTTTTTCCTGTTTCCCAACCTCAAATTACCACTCAGAGGAACGCGTTTTGAATCCATAGAAGACGTAAAACAGAATTCGCAGAGGGAACTCAAAGCCATACCGGAAAGCGCCTATAAAATAATTTTGATGATTGGAAGAAACGTTGGCATTTGTGTATCGCTTCTAATGGAGCATATTTTGAAGGAGATAAAATAAATATTGATGAAGATTAAGAATTTTGCGTTTTATTTAAAATTTCCGGAAACTTTTCGGTCACAATGTATATCCAAAAAAATATTTTTGAAGATTGTCGATGATAGATATCTCGTAATATCCGAAAGAGCTATAATTCAACTAATTCAATTATTTGTATTTAAAATTTAGTTGTTATATATTGCCATGTACTCCTTTGCTATTTTAAATAGATTTTTTGTCATATATGTCCTTAAAAAAATTTAAAAAAGTATTTATTTTTTTTTTTGTGTATTAAATATTAAATAACAAATATGATAACACTTGTTTGCTATAACTATTATTGCTTCATACATGCAATTAGAAAGATATCGCAAAATTTATAAAATCGATTTTATATAGATATTATATTTTTTTTAATATATTTTTTATTTTTATTATTTATTTTTTATTTTTATTTTTGTTTTTTATTCTTATTTTTATTTTATATATTTTATTTTTATTTTAATTTGTATCGAAATTTTATTATTTCATTATTCAGTTTTAACAAATCCACAGTGAAGTAAGTATATTAAAATTACTCTAAGCAATGCCTGTTGTGCTTCTATCATTAAGCACCCTGTTAAGTCCTTTTTAAAGCAGTTTTATCGGCCCGCATTTTATTACCTAAATAAGGCCGCAAATAATTCCCAAAAGTGTAACCGACAATGTTTGATTACTGGCGCGTCAGTCGTAGTCGTTCGCAATATTAAACCGTAGCAGTTAAGGATGTTTACACACCCACACGCTTCCAAATTAAGGAAAAAGGTTAGTTGAAACTGTGCTTATATGTCGGAATGTGAAATGTTCACCTATCTTATATCCTTCCCGAATTCTTTACCTTAAAGTTACAATGAAATTATTGACTTTAACTTTTTGACCTTTTTTGCCAATTGAATTTTTTTCATGTCATTACAAAGGATATACACAATAATGTTGATTTAAATGCAAAATTTTACAATTTTCTCTTGCGTACTTGAAACTACTAGGAAAAAAATTGTATAGTGAACTTATAAAAAATTGGTTCCATTGATCTCTTTATGTAAGAGTAAAGAATGCTGCAAAAGACCGAGGACAGCTTCAAGAGTCAATGAAAAAAGTAACTCTTATTTAAAGTTAACGAAAGAATACCTTTGCATTTGCTTCTTTGAAAGGTCATACGTTTGCAAAAAGATTCCAAAAATAAATTCAAAAATAAAAAAAGAGTACTTTTTTTTTAAGGAATTCTCTTATTTTACTTCAATTTATTTTCTGCATTTTTTGCATGCAATTACAGCGTTTTTTTCGCCTCAAACAAAAAATAAAGAATCTTTTTCGATCTCGTTTCCATTTTATTTATTTTAACTTTTATTTTATTAAATTTATTTTATTTTACGGATGTATAAGGACACCAATTTTAAAACACTTGCGGTACTTTTAAAAAGGTCAGCAATTTATTTTTTCAGAATAGCACAAGATCTTCGGAAACAAACTTGGGTTACATCAAATAAAACAGGATATTAGTTTTCAGTTAAAATGAAAATGTATAGTATTTCTACTTATTTGATATATAATATTGTGTTTTATTGAATTTTTTAAATACTTTGATATGCATAGTAAATTAATTTAACCCTTAAACCCAAGATAATATTACTCATATACATAAATCGTATCATGACAATAGCATGATTTCGTTGGTTGGTTGCATTGGCAGGCCATTAGATAGCTGCCATGTACCTCAATTAGCAATTTTGCGCCATTTTGCCACCACATTCCTTGCAAAAACCCTTAGTATTTAAGAGTAGAGACTAAATCCATCTCGTCAAATTTAGAAAATGTAATAGGTCTCTCGTCTTCACCGATGAACAGTTTGATAAACTGTTCAAGAAGTATCTTCCTAAAAATCTATTTCTTCTGAACGCCGAAGCTGAACTCCGTTCACATTGAAAATGTATAATGGTTTCTTTTTCCAGCGGGTTTCCACAACTTCTTCAGTGAGGATAGATAAAGAATATGCAGTTTCTCTGCGTAGGTTACTAAACACCCATGACCAGAGAGAACTGCAGTAAACCTTGTAATGTAGACGGGTCTCTTTTGATGAGTTCAGAGTATCTAATTTCATTATAGGTAGGCCATGTTAACTTTAAAGTTGCACATGACTGACCAGAGACATGACCAATATACACCAATGACCAGAGACAACTGCAGCAAGCCTTGCTGTGTTTACGCGGTCTCTTTTGATGAGTTCAGAGGATCTAATTCATTATAGGTGGGTCATGTTAACCTGGAAGTTGCAAATGTCTGACCAGAGACATGATCAATGATCAGACATTGCTGCAGTAAGCCTTGCAGTGTTCACGCGGTCTCTCTTGATGAGTTCATACAATATCTCAGAGGATCTAATTTCATTATAGGTGGGCCATGTTAACCTGGAAGTTGCACATGACTTAAGTGTTTTCCATCTATTATTGGCAAGTTGAAGTAAGTAGAGATAAATACTTCTCTAAATGGCCTGTAGCGTAATATACACCGGTACCATCAGAAACACATCCAAGGAAGCACCACAGCGGACTAAACTTCCTATGTCCAGAAACCCAGATAAGGGTGAAGGGATAGCATTATTTAATAAATATAGTTAATAATCTTAGTAAATCATAAAATAAATTAAGCAATTTATTTCCAATAAAATGCATAGTCAAAACTGCTGAGTTGTTATTTGTTGATAATAATCCAGAGAAAAAGAAAATAAAATCCTGTTTCATCAAAAAAATCGTGTTCAATCAAAAAATTCCTGTTTCATGTAAGAACCAGCATAGCACATAACACCCAATTCAGGAGGATGATCAAAATATTTTTTCATATCATTGTTTTGTAAATTGGAACGAGATAGTATTAATTCAGTTTGCACATATTGCTATGTCAATTTCCCTGAAGGTTATTTGACTGTTATCCTGTCACTGCCACAAAGAGTAAAATAAATAACGTTTTTCAGAAAAATAAAAAAAATATTACAGAAAAACAAGAAGAAGCAGAAATTTTGTCGAAAAGAAGTGCTCAGAAAAAACTTAATTACATTTTTCTGTTTGCTTTTCCACAACATTTATAATTTTTTCATTTCATAACTCTCAGTTGCCACGAAAACCATCCACTTTAATTATTATCCTTTTGAATTTACCATACAATGCCAGACATTTTCATATTATTTTTCTTTACATACTTTTTTTTTGTTTTTTTTTTTGTATTATTTCAACTACAAGTGCTGACATCCTTGCGTACACACCGAACTGTACTCCTTGAGAGGAGTTCATAATTTTCTCATTTTACTTCTTACTTATAATTTTCTTACTTCATAAGAGTACTATTCTTCTGTTAATTTTAATTCATTTACCCAACATTCTTATATTAAATTATACGTATAAGTTTGTTGGTACCCCTTATCTGATCGAACTAACACAGCTGTTATCCTTGAAAACGTAGCTTTATTTATAGCGTTTTTAATTGACTGATCTGGATTCAATCTAGATTTCCTTTCGTTCTGTTAAATTTTATTACCCAATCGAACGTCTTTCGATGAAATCGCAATTTACCTGCCATGTATTTTAAAACTGGCAATAAGTATATCTAGAATGTTGTAAATTAATCTCAAGTTTAATACATTTCGCTACAAATTAACCAATGGAAAATGAAAATTACACTAATGCTGTTTTCGATTGGTAAATCTGGATTTAATCTAGATTTACTCTAAATCTATCAAATTCTGTTATCCAATCGAACATTTTTAGAGTTATCTTATATTTTTGTAGTAGTATTAGTAGACATTTGTATATTTCAGAAATACATATATCAAATCAAATCATAGCTCACCTGTCAAATCATCTAAAACATCTGTTAATTTCAGAGTCTAATCTCGAGTGTTATACATTAATCTCGAGTGTTATATAGACTT